GGAGACAAGATGTTGAAGAATATGTAAAAACTTGTGAAAGATGTCAAAAAGCAAATAAAGCCACAGGAAAAAGATTTGGTTTACTTCAAAGAATAGAAGAACCAACGTATGCTTGGGAAGTCATTAACATGGATTTTGTTACAGGTCTTCCACCATCATTAAATAACAATTACAACTGTGTACTGGTCATTGTAGACAGATTTTCAAAAAGGACAAGGTTCTTACCATGCTACAAAGAAGCAACAGCAATGGATATTGTGTTATTATTCTGGGAAAGAATAATAAGTGACGTAGGATTACCACGAATAATCATCAGTGACAGAGATCCAAAGTTTACTTCTGAATTTTGGAAAAGTCTACATACACTTATTGGAACAACATTAGCTCTTTCCACTGCTTATCATCCACAGACTGATGGTCTCAGTGAAAGAAACATTAGTACCTTAACTGAAATAATCAGAAGGTATTGCACTGAAGGACTTTGTTACACAGATAAAGATGGACATACACATGATTGGCATACATTACTACCAGCCTTAGAATTAGCATATAATAGCAGCATACATAGCACAACGGGAAAGAAACCTTTTGAAGTAGAAAGAAGCTATTGTCCTAGATTACCAAAAGACCAGATAAAAAATAAAAATGTCGAATTTCATCTGACTTCCTTAAGTTTCTTTGATATGCTTGGTAAAGCAAGAGCTCGAGCAGCTCAATGTATTGAAGATTCTGTGACATATAATCAAGAAAGATGGAATAAGACTCATAAAGAACCTAAGTTTGTAATCGGTGAACAAGTACTACTATCCACTACAAACTTTAACAACCTTCAAGGACCTAAGAAACTTCAAGACCAATTTGTTGGACCATTTGTAATACTAAAATTCCATGGGAGCAATGCAGTAGAAGTAGCATTGACAGAGTTTGGGAGAAAACATCCAGTATTTCCAATCTCATTAATAAAGAAGTTCCACGCTTCTGACAAGAGCAAATTTCCTGACAGAGAAATACCTAAGAAAACCCCTATCAGGTTTGAAACTGATGGAGAAAAGATTTTCTCACACATAATAAAACAAAGAGACACACAAGTTAACGGTAAATCTACTACACTTTATCTTGTAAGATACAAGAATAGGAGTGCAGATGAAGATGAATGGCTACCAGCAGATAAAGTGCCAAATAACAAAACAACCTTGCGAGAATTCAGAGCCCAAAGAAGAGCTCATAAACCTTCTGAAAAGAAGTAATGACCTCCTTTGAGGGTGGGGAATGTCAGCCCTGGGTACATATGTATGTACCCAAAGACTAACTTGTAATATATATAACCACCTTCAGACAACTAATTACATGTACATAAAGCTTACAAAACATATGTAACTTGTAATAAATCATATATACATCTTGATTACATATAACTATACATTTGAAATGATATGTAATATGTAAGCAAATATCAATTACACCTCATAACTCAGTGTCAAGAGTTAAAAAAAGCTTATATTACATATTACACATAACATGTATATGTAATTAAGTATTATTAGTAATAATCCCAAATAATAATAATAATCAAACCCTAAACCAAAGTAGGGAGGTAAACAAATCTCACTACGGTTAGGTTTGGAGAGGAGAGTATATAAACCCCTCCTCTCTCAGCCTTGAGAGATTTCCCCCAAGCTTTATTACACACTACTTTTAAGAACACTTAAAGTTCTACTGAAGTAACATCAAGAGTCTTATAAATATAAGACTAGTGATATCTTCATTACTTTAATCAGTTCCCTGATTAAAAGTAAGTAATACTCTTCACTCTTCCCTGGATCCTCTACTATCCCCCAGTAGAACTCTAATAGGTTGGTGACCATATAACAACCCAAGGTTGGTGACCATAGAACAACCCAGGTTGGTGACCATAGAATAACCTCAGGTTGGTGACCATAAGAACAACCCAGGGTTAGTGACCATAGAACAACTAGTCTAGTGAACTTCAACCCACTCTTTAATCTATCACTTGAAGATTAAAGGAAGGGCTAGGATCCACCCTTCACCCTTTATACCATTCCAGTATCTTTCATCTCTCATCCCTTTCCTTGTTTATAATTCTTTGTAACTACATTTATATTTGAAATATAATTATAATTACCTGAATTATAAGCCCACCTTGCCCAATTAGTGAGCCTTGAGTACTCAAAAGAGTAACCAACCCTCACAACAACAGTCTGATCAATATGTCGATGTTATAACCATCATAGTTAAACGACATCAACTTCAATATACTAATCAAAAGCACACCGGGCTATGGAGATTTCGAGAACAAAAGGTTCTGAGCTTTTGAAGAGAAATATTCCAACAAATTGTCCCCTATCCAATTGCTAGCACCCGTTCACATTTCAGGATTGTGTGTGTTGTAGATTCATTCAATTTAGTAGTACCCATGCCTGACCAGCAACAATCCAACGTTTTTGATTCTAACGTTGTTCAGTTAATTTACGCCCACTACCACTCCATTTTGGCCTGTCTTTCAGAACAAAACATTACTCACACTTACAACATTGAATTCCACCGAAATCGCTTACCTCACATCGAAATAACGATCAATGCCAACAATCGTATGATCATCTTACCAACATTACGTCGACCACGTCACGAAACACCTACGATTGATAGTTTTTCACACCGAAATGTACAATCTGTAAATGGCAATCTCATAGTGTGAGTTATGAACCACCTCTCGAATAAACATCATGAAGTTAACTAAATCTTTATGTGCTCTCCCTTTCTCCAAGATTTGCTCACAGAGTAGACTACGCTCATGTACCGATTATCTCACACGGTGGCCTGATTCGAGGTAAAGTAGATTTACTTTCAAAACACATGTGGTAGAATCTCCCCTGCCGGGCGATACTATCACCCCCTTTAACAAACCAGCTAATAGGCATTTTTTTTTGAATTGGGTCTAAAGCAACTTCCGGACTTCGCGATTGCCATTCAAGCCACAAACCTGGATCCACATTGCCTGATTTATCAAAAATTGTTACATCGCAAAAGAGCTGTTTGCAAAAGGAACAGCCAATAAACCAGTTTGATTTTATTGGGGTCTGGATTTGTACTGAGAACCAACGCCGTGGACCACCACATACGCACTTCGTATTTTTCATGTATTGCCTGTAGAAGCAAGCAGTCTGACACCACAGTTGTGTTTTAACAGGTTTTAATGAGCGCACTCAACTTATTCATTATGTTGGCCTTTGATCCCTTGAAAACAATCAGATCAACAGAAAATTTGCCTTAAATAAGCAGGCACGCCAGTATGGCCTGCTCAGTTTCTTTGTCTTGCATATAAATGCAACCAACAAGTCTCCCAATGACAGGTTTAGAGTATGATTTTGCCAACACTAACTACAAAATGAAATGCTATCCTGCCAGACGGTGCTTTGCTATTGACTACACTTGGTACGTACCAAAGTAAAGGGGCGAGGCCAATTTTAAGTTCACATGATGCGGGTACTCAGTCCGCGAGTCCAAAAGTACAAAAGACAAGCGCCCGTTGTATCTTCAACAGGGTATTTGTAAGTTAGCTCGAAATGCCCCAAAGCCGCCTTAAACCGACGTTATTGTCTGATTCATCATTGTTGGGTTTTTGTCTCCGCATCCAGAACTGAAACCCAGTCTGGGACGAAGTCTTACACCTTTCCTCGGTACGTTGCATCCAGTGGGCGCCAAATTCCTTACTCTTGCCCAAGAAAGTTTTGCATTATCAAGCCGTTGACACAACAATCTGGAACATCAACCAAGACCCCGCCGTGTTATCATGTCGAAACAACATAGAATTCGACGCTGGCCTTGTAAGGACGGAAGTAACACTACCCTAACCCGCACTTTAATCGTATCAACATAGCTGCTACTTTACCGCCAGTAAGTTTTTGAAATTGTATCCCCAATCTATAATTGGTAGCACCATCGCTGGACGATAAAATCTCACCTGATCAATGCACACAAGTCAAATGATTATGAGTATACTCACAGTTGAAACACTGATTTCGCGAGAATAACCTTCATCTACCTGTTGCAGGAATCCAGCCCGATGCACAACTCAACGCTATCTTGAAAGGTGACAGTACTTGGAGCTAATCTTTTGATCTGCAAAACAGTTCCCCCGTCTCAAACTCACAAATAGCTGACTGGAACTACGTGTTGCTTTCATAGCGAAGTCTCCGCTAAACTTTCAAAAATGATCAATTCGACGATCAGACCAACAGAAGATGAAGATATTCCAATACTGCAAACATAGATGTTAATAAATGAGAATCCAAATTATAAATCTCCCTCGGTGCTATTGTTCTCAAAATGAAGCATCGACCCGCGAAGAACGATTGACAAACCAAGCAATTTGTATAAGGCCTCATCTGCGGCCATTAGGGAATAGAACAAGCGATCTCTGTATTAGAGGCTAGAAGGAAAATCATGGTCCCCATTCTTGCATAACACCTCACGAATACATCACCAACGTTAACAACTTCCTAAGGGCTCATCTCGGTAAAATATTCAGAGTGATTCTACCGACCAACGTGTTTGATAGCTTGAAGCATCTTGGGGATTATGGCAAATCGTAATACAACAATTAGAGTAGCTCGGGAATCAATTGCGACATTGTTATCGTGAGATTGCGAACTAGCTGCATTTTGGCAAGGCGGCCAGCAGGTGTTGACGATATCTGTCTTCTCAATTTCCGGACTATAAATAGGTAACCAAACTACCACAAATTGACCCATGGAACTTTAACTCCTCTTTTGAGCCAGTTGAATACAATCTCTGAAAACTTTGTGACTCCACTTCTGCATCTTGTATTTCAGTCAATTATTAACACTTCAAGACTGGAGTCCGGCCCGGATTTCACAGTGACAACAGCTAATGTATGTACTTCCAATTCTGCGGTCAAGCTAAAAGTATTGCCCTAGCTTACACTTCTTCACTATTTACTATCAGCTTTAATCATCAGAATGGCGGACCCAAGTGAATCAACACCTCATGGCTTATATCTGACAGGCAACTTCGAAATTGAGAAGAAGGTATGTTGATATTATGAGTAATACCTGAATTGCATTTGTAGCTAATAGTTTCTCAAATTCGAAATGCAGACCTCACCTGAGAATGGTTGGAGATCAGAGTATCAAACTTATGCGACCTACATTGGGGCTGGCGGTGCACATCGAAAAAGAACCATGAGTTACAAAATCCAAATCAAAGGTTATAGCCCAGCTCAATTCAGATTGGATGACGGGAATATTTATTTTTTAAGAGGCTCCTTCTTCCCATCCAATACTGACGAAACCAAGAACGACATCCTGTTTTTTGAGGGGTCTGAACGTATCTTAATTGGCCCTGCGGACACCATTGTAGGTGACTTGGTGAATTCTATCGCAGTCACTGGAGTTGGGATTGTGACAGCTAAAGAAACAATCCCCAAGCCTAACGTCACCAGCACATTGCCAAACCCTGCCGACGGGGAGAAGTTGGTTACAATTGTAACCGTTCTTCATTCAGACTATCACCTGACTGTGAGTACCATTCGAGTGTCTCAGAGACTATTACTGGTCAAAAATTTCCTCAGTTGAAGAAAGCAAGACAGTTCAAAGTCCAGTACCGTATCCCTCCGACCCCCAACTTAGCTGGCATTCAAAAGATACTCCAAGAGGGGCGTGAATACGTATTTCATGGTTTCCTCAAAGATTTTGATGAAGAAAAGTGTCTTTACATAATAATGGTGAGCTAATCTGCTCTTCCCGTCTTGAGCATTGCAACTTACCTTTTTCACCAAATTGCAGGCAAACAAAATTTCGCCAACTACTGGAAGCAAAGAATATAATGTCGGTGTCCAATCTACAGATGCCACACAAGATAATATGAATTCAAGATTGTCAAGCAAGAAACCTACAAAGTAAGCTTATTGTAATAGTGCTCAATAAGAACCTTACTTATGCCTTGAAAATGCGAAATCTAGGTTTGTACCGAGGGCCCTGACTAGCCAATTCATGTCACCCGTTATCTCGACGGACTCTGAATCTAGCTTGAACTTACAATTCCCGCCATCTGACTTCGGGCCTTCTTCCTTCTCCTCCGCGATGTCAAGCACAACACCTGGAACCTCTAATGGCTCCTCTGACAATGCGCTGTCTAATGAGAACCCAAACCCGCCCAGCAAAAAGAAAGGTCGAGCTCAGCCAAAGCGTGTTACAAAGAAGAGTAAAACAATGGACTTTACTATCGAGGAGTAAAAGCAAGGACAAAGAGGCAAGACATGATGCAAATGTAAAACTCAATACGGGAATTCAGGCATCTTCATGTTATACTACGTTATTATTTTGGTACTACTTTTGTCTGATTGTCAACACGTTTAACTTCTTGCTACTTAATCTTTGACTGCCCTGCTGAAAAAAATTCTATCTTTTGTATTCTCGATTAAAATATTACAATTTGAAGACAAAATATCTATTGTATTGAAACCAGCACGGTGACTGTTCAATTTGAAAAATTTACAAAGTGTCGTGTTCTTGAATTACTTGGCAGTTTGTGTTTTTACCTACTTTCTTGATTCAAAGCAAGATGGTGATTCATTACAGATGATAATATGTAACGTCCATGTTTTTATTATCTCCAAGTGTCTAAAACTGGTGCGACCTGCTGAGACAGACCATTGCTTGATCATCTAACAGTTAGGGATCTGTACAAGTAACTGTTAGATTTGTGAAGGTTGTGAGAATGGCGATTGTTATACCTAAATGAGAATAGAACAAAAGTTTAAGTACGGACGACAAATGGTTCGAAACCTATCCAGCTAGGGTTCAGCTCAATGTATTGGGGAATGATATATTTCCCACCGAAGCGGCCATCTCCTCATCACCTTAAGAGGGACCTTCGCCAATGGGAATTCCTGCGTCCGTCCATCAACTGTCAAAGTCGGGGGAAATTAATAGATATAAGCGAGTACTAGAGGAAGATGATGTAGGAAAATTGCTAACTGGAGGGACTGGGTGACGAATAAGAAACGCTCAGAACCTCGATAACCTCAGTTGATTTAATTGAAAAGGAGGATTTTACTACCCTCAACCTCACAATGGCTTTTTCAAACCGGAGAGAAGTCTAAGGAATTCATTAAGTCAAACGGCAAGCGGCTAACACTAAAGTAAATGACTCAAACATCCTTGGTGGAAGGGCACACCTGGAAGATGCTAGGGATGGCTTAGATCACGAGCACTGGTCTATGAGATGGATATGCATGACATCATGGTCGATGACTGAAATCAATTTAACGATGAAACTTCAAAAACTTGCAGCTCCATATCTTGGAACTTTGCATCAGTCAAAGGGCTTAGTGAGCAAAAATTGTTTTCAAAAAGTACGCCTTTGGCAGTAACAAAATTCGTATTCCTAATTATACTAACTTTTTGTTTGTCTTCTGACGTGTAGGTGAGCCAGGTGCTCAATCCTCAAAACTGCAAGAATCTTTCGGTGGTACAGAAGCAACTTGGAAGTAGGTCTTTTGTTAAAACCCTGTCGCATTATCCTTGAAATAATCTTCTAGATCCAGGGTTAATTTGATGTAGACAACATTTTTTAATTTAATTGTTTGATCCCACACAGATAATGTGAAGGTATCGCGCGCGAAAAGGTCGAGCGATCCGATCAGAAGCTCCAGGTGCGGAAGTCAACCTATTAACACGTTTTGCGAACGAAATCCCACACGACATTGGTGAGCAAGCGGACAAATGCTTGGGATGTGGAGCATTAAGGTGGAGAATTGAGAGACGAATCAGGGATCTAAATTTGGAAAGCTCAACGTACGGGAATTGCTGCCAACATGGAGCAGTCGAACTTCCACTGCGATATTTTGTTCAAGATGTAGGCCAGGACATTCCACCATTTTACCTAGCTTTGTTGACAGAACAAAATGAAGGTAAGCTGTGGCACAAATCACATTTAATCGTATTTTCTACTAATGTTCTTTGCAGTCTCGAAACAATTTTGTTTACAGATCCAAAAATATAACAACGCTATGTCATTCACTTCCTTGGGAGCCACAATTGATACCTCGGTTATGGGGCAACGCGGAGTCTACATATTTAGAATTTCCGGACAACTGTCTCATAATATCGGGTCCCTCATGCCTATGCCTGGAGATCACCCCGGATTTGCACAGATTTTCGTGTATGGAGGTGGCGGTCCAGAGGAAGCACACGCAAGGAATGCCTACTTTAATAACGAGCTGAATCCACTGATCTTCCACATCTTTCAGGAATTCATGGACTTACACAATCTGTATGTTGAGGTGTTTCGAAACGCAAGGGCTATTTGCAACGAGGGCAATACACGGTCTTTGAGGATCAACACGATAACGGCACCTGGCACGGATCATAGACGATATAACCGTCCAACAGCGAATGAAGTGGCGGGGATAATTGAGGGGAATGGACAGGTTGGGGCTCGAGAAAGAGATATAGTACTAGAAAGACAAACGGGTGCTCGTCAACGAATATCAGAACTGCACACTGCCTATTTTGCATTGAGATATCCTTTGTTGTTTCCCTATGGCTCCCAAACCCGGCATGAAAATTTTTCAAATCCGACGGAAGAGAGTGCGTAATGTTTAATAATTATATATGACTCTAATATCAAATTGAGGAAGTGATACTATTGATTATTCTACAGGACCAGGTGGTGAAGTAACAAGCCTGGAGTGGTTTGCTTATTTGCTTTTTCAACGCCCCGCTTTTTCTATTATACTCGCCGCAGGTCGCCTGTTTCAAGAATTTGCAGTCGACATGTACGTCTGTGTCGAGCACTGTCGACTGCAATACCTGAGATTCCACCAAAGAGAACTACGGGCCGAATTATACAGCGGAATTGTTGAGGCTTTGGACAATGAAATGGAAGATGAGGTGGTGGGCCGACGAGTTGTGTTACCTTCAAGCTTCATTGGGAGTCCTAGGCATATGCAACAACTCTATCAAGATGCGATGAGTTTGGTTGCCGAATTCGGACATCCTAGCCTATTCCTAACAATGACGGCCAACCCTCAATGGCCTGAGATCACCAACGCACTTCAACATGGTCAGTCAGCGGAAGACCGCCCAGACTTAGTGGCTCGAGTTTTTCATGCGAAATTCCACTGTTTACTCAAAGACGTTACCAAACAAGAACGCTTAGGGAAATGCTCAGCTTACGTTTACAGCGTGGAATTTCATCGTCCCAATTTGGTCACTGCACTCGAAAGCTCAAGAAAGTATCAATCGATGCTCAAAGCAATGACGAATGAACAGCTGGCAGTTATTGCACCGATTCGCGAGGCTTTAACGGAGAATAGGCCTTATTTAGCTTTTTTGGACGGTCCCGGAGGAACCGGAAAAACTTTTGTATTAAATTGCATATTACACTACTGCAATTCATATAATTTCTCTTTCGAAGCCGTCTCAGCCGCTGGCATAGCATCTCTCTTACTCTTACATGGGCGGACAGCGCACAGTGCGTTTAAAATACCGATCCCGGTGCACGACGACTCAATTTGTTCTATGGGTTTTTGCGATGGAGATCAAATTACTTCAGTGCGATTCATCGTTTGGGATGAAGTAGCGATGCAACACAAACATGCGATTGAATGTGTTGATCGAACGATCCGCGAGCTGACGGGAGTTGACCTGCCTTTTGGAGGAAAGGTAATTCTGTTTGCAGGTGATTTCAGGCAGACCTTGCCAATTGTGAGGCGCTCAAATTTAATGCAACAAGCACAAGCGTCGTTGAAATCATCTTATCTGTGGAGCTCAGTACATCGGTTCTCTTTGACTATCAACATTCGGCTAGGAGGACTATCACCCAATCCTAACAGGGATAATCTGGATTTCGCCAAATGGTTATTAGATTTAGGCTCTGGAAGACTTCAACAGGAGCACGCGGCCATATTCCCTTTGAGTTACTGCAATGTCACGGTGGTACAACCACCGAATTTTTGTGATTGACAACTTTTGGAGACAGAATATGGTGGGGTTCAAGGATTGATTCTAAGAGAGAAATGGGGTGATCTTACGGACTTCTACTCAAGCCGTTGTATGATCACTCCTCTCAATGCAACTTTGAATTTGATGAACCGTGATATAATGGAATCATTGCCAGGTCAAGTCTTCATGTCGAACTCTATTGATCTCATGGACGAACAATTCATGGATCCGGTAACGGCCGATGTCCTGAACACATTTGACTTTCCCGGATTCCCAGCTCATAAGATGAAATTGAAAGTCGGGGCGTCGATCATGGTATTGAGAAATTTGAACTTGGCAAATGGGCTTTGTAACGGGACACGACTCTTAATCACAGATTATCGCCCGAATGCCTTACAGTGCCGAATTTTAACTGGAGACTTGAAAGGAAAGAGAATAAATTTACCTAAAATCAATTTGCATCACGAAGGTAATGAGGACCGCCCAATTCCATTCTGGCGCTACCAATTCCCAGTTATGCCAGTGTTTTGCATTACAATCAACAAAAGTCAGGGCCAAAGCCTAGACCAAGTAACTGTACTACTCCCAAAGCCGGTTTTTTCTCACAGGCAACTTTATGTAGCTTTATCACGATGCACTAATGCATCCAATGTCAATGTTTGTATAACATCGCTCTGTGACAAAATATCTACAACTAATATAGTATATCATCCGATTTTGAATATCTAAATTACAAATCAAATTGGCGCGATGGTGGATTCATATGTAAGCCAAATAAATGTTATTTACCTATCTCGCCACGACTCTCAAACTGACACATGTTATTTCTATTGTAAGGTGTTAAACTGTTTTATACAACCATCAAGTTGGCTCAAAATTGGCAACTAAACATTTGTAATTGTTTAGTAGGCATACGTTACTAATAGATTCAACTTGGAATATATGATCGGATATTGCTATTGTCGATTTGGTATTCAGGATGCAGATAAACGATTGTACAATTAAATTTGACATTTAGCCTTTACGCAAAAAAAATAGAAAACCGATTTAAATGCGACCCAAGTTAATTCAAGTAAATGTTCAGGGTAAATAATCTACTCAGTGTCTATATTTCTCCTTGAATTGGAGATCCAATGAGGAAGTCGACCAGGATTTGTGATACTGAGTAATTTAATGTTATACTTTATTCACCTGCATTTTGGCTGTGGGTTGAATGAAGCGTAACTCAATATCATTATCGGCTCGAAGCTGAAAGTAGTATATTCCAATTGGATACTTCAAAAAAA